GAGTTTTATTTTTTCCGTACATGATTTATCTTTTTATTTATGAATGAATATACTTTGGATAAACATTTGATAGAAAAGAAAAAAAAATCTTTTTTTTTTTTTATCTAAATAGATATTGATTGATTTGCTGTTAATAAATTCTGTCAAGTGGTTACCATTGTTCCATTTCGTGTACCTCTAGTTGTTTTTCTTTTTCATATATATGAAAAAGAAAAATAAGAATAAATAAAGAATTAATATTATGAAATAAAATTTTTCTATTTTAAAAGTTTTGCCTAAAAAAATTTCAAATATTTCTCTTTGAAAAACTTCGATAGAAATTTTGTTTTCTATTAGTTAAAGTTTTTAACCAATGAAATATTTGGCAATTCATTGATTTATATAGGAGAATTTTATTTATTTACATTCTACGTCATTATCACTTGCCATGATCTTCAATGATTTACTTAGATTATTCACATTGCGATTTTACTGGGTAAGTTTTTTTAATATAAATTATATTAGGGAGTTATCAGTATGATTCTAAAAGAGCATTACTAAGCGAATAAAGATCTTAGAAAATAACGTTGACAAAATCCTTGACGGTTCGTCATTATAAATTATTTCACTTACGAGTTTGAATGCAATGTAACTAGCAATAGGCAAAAAATGTCGATTGATTATTCGATATGACATTCAACCTTTTACTTAAAAATCTATTGTTATAAATTGTTTCGTTTGTTATATTTCAATTATTGAATTTTCTCCTTTTTTTTTAGTACTAAATGAGTCAAAGAATTCAAAGTTTACAACACACATTAAAATATTAGTGGGGTAACCAGATGGAGGATCAGCTTTCCAGAGGACATTCAGCCGTCCACTACAAACGGTTGAGTTTCGTTTAAAAAAAGGAGCTTGAGAGTTCTTCTAGAAGCGTTATTAAAGGATCTTCACCCATTTCACAGACATGGTCAGAGACGGAGCATCTTCCTACAACGTTTGTACAGTATGATTTTTCATCTATTGTTCACTGTAGGTAAAACTATATGAGTAATCGTCAATAGTCATCGGTTAAAAAGTATTGAATATCTCAGAATTAGTTTATTATGTATATTCAAGTAGATCAATCAGTCTGACACGGTGAATCATTATGAGCTTTCGGAAACTTTTTAAGATTATTTTATTGAGTATATCGAAATTAGAATTTATTGAATATAAGTCGATCAAATTTTTCTAACATAAAATAATGAAAAAAACTATGTTTTTTTTTTCTTACTCAAGAGTACATCTTTAATTTTTTGTTTTAAATCAAATAAGTACAATTAAACAAAAATGTAATATAAAATTGGCATCAAAAAATTTTCAATCGGGATCAAATCGTAAAAAATAATTGCATGTCTTTTTTTTGTTCTGCATTGTATATAAGATGGTAAATTTCTATTTCCAGGGAATTCAAATGAAATGATTATGAGAAAATTAATTTTAATATAAAAATGAAGTGTATATTTTTTTGGATTGAGTTGAATCAGAAAATTCATCTTATGATTATTAACTATTCGCAAATGCTTCATTCGCTTAAAGCCATAGAATATTTAACTGTAATCTTTAGTTTCAGTTGAAGCAATTTTTTTATTATAGTTCTCGTCTTGCACATCTCTAGTCGTCATCCATACACATTTAAATAGCACACCCACACTCTATATACTTGTCATCATAGAATGAATTTTCTAATCTAATTTAACTCAAAACTAGAAGTTGTATTCGTTCAATTAAATGTTTAGAGATGAATTTTAACTATACATCATCGACATTATTCTGAACTCTGGCAGCAGTATTCTTTTATTAAATGGTGCTCTAAAAAAATTTGAATTTCCTGGAAGTCGAAATTTACTATATCCTCGCATGACATGTTGGCGTTGATTGTTATGATATATGGAAAATTTGCTGAGAAACTAAAGGATTGTCTTGTTACCGGCATGAGTTATTAACCTAAACGTTATCACATCATTTGTTCCTTGTTCTTGATATATAACAAAAAAAAAACAACAGGAAACTTTCTAATCTTCAATACAAACAAGTAACGTTCATCGAAACTTGATTGATTTTTGGCCCTATACTGACAAGATAGAGATACAGTAAAACCTCTATATGTGAACATCTCTCCTTAATGAACACCTCGCTATTATGAACGCTTTTTACTGGTCCCGAAGGTGTTCAGATTAGAGAGGTTTTACTATATATATATAACATTAACACAGACGTGCAGAATCTACCCGTGTGTGTGAACGGTCGTTCGGAGATCTTTTTTGAAAATTTAATAGTATTTGAGAAAATTTTTTTGACAAATATTTTCTCCCATAGAGAAAGTTTTACAGTCAGACGAAAAGTGGTTATCAAATTCTTATTCCAGTCACCTAGCAGTACACGAGATAAACTGGTGTGTCTTTGTAACAAACTCTTCAGCCCAGAGATGATTGATATGCTACACTTCTGACTACCACTACCTAGTATAAGAGATTTTATTATTCATGTATAGAGACGAAATTTTAAAAAAATACTGTGTTTCCTAACTTTTGGTCATCTACTATACATCGATAAGGTCTTCTACTTCTCTTTTTTTCTTTTCTTTTCATTAAACTTCTGAAAGATTCATCCGCGTCTTTATCTTAATGTCAGTATCACTTACCTTTATTTACGCTTATCATACATCTTGCCATTTCTTTCACCCTGTCTCTTTGTGTCTACTCATGAAACAATACGCACTATTTGAGTTCTCCTCTCTTTTTTTTTTAATGTTTTTCTAATGGAATACCATTACTTGCCGTTTTTTCTCCGTTGGTATATACAATTGCTGTTGTATGTATGTATAAAATACCACTAGAATGACTAATGTATGATCATCAGCGATTGAATCAAATCATTTTTCATTGGTTCGAGTTCAGTTCAGTTCGGATTCGGCTCGATTCAACTTTATTTTTGAAAAGTGGTTCGAATTCGGTTCTTTTCGAATAATCCTAGTCTCACCAAATTCGGAGTACACGATAGGTCAAAATGTCTTTCTTCGGGTTCAGTGAGTTTAAATTGTTTACGAAAAGCACAAGTAATAAATGATATTGAAAAGTAGCTTTTTTTTTTCTTAATGTGTTAAATAAAAATTTAAAACAAGAAAACTCGTTTTTTAATTGAGTTTTATACTGAGGGAAATTTTTTTTAGTTTATCGGCAGATTCTGTACGCTTGTATTAGCATAAAAGTTATTACAATTAGTTATAAATGTACTATTTCTAGTACAAAAAAAAACAAAAGTAATTTAATTTTAGTTAATCATAATCATATGTTCAGACTCACTTTCCAACTCTTGAAAATTATTACAATGACATTCTCATAATCGATCGAGGCATTTAATAGTTAATCATTACTTCTAAAAGCATCTCATATCAAAAAATCATAATCGTAAACAATCATAAATCATCTTAAATAACGCAGTATTACAATCGTATTTCTTCGTTTTACATAAAGTGAAATATGATCGCTTACGGAGTTCGTATACAACTCCCGTTTTACTGCATATCTCGCTGTAAACGATTATATTTCTCTGTATACGATACGAAGAAATGTAATTGTTATAGTGAGTCATCTAATACACTAAAATACGATTGTATATGATGAAATATGAAGGTCCATACTAATGTTTTGAGATACTACTCATTGGCTAATTTTTAGGCCTAGGTGTCATATTTTTTTGTTATCCTAGGCAGTCATTTGTACCATAGATATCATTTGAAATATAATCCGACGTTCCAGTTAAGTTTTTGGAGATGTTACTATCGTTTTCTTTGTTTTTCAATTCAAAATTTCCGATACTGATCAATACACTAGCTTACATCTCTAATATTTATTTTATGTTAACTATGTTATAGATAGATACAGATGAATTCTCATTTTGAAGACCCTCTATCCTTTCAGTCTGGAAGAATACTGATAATTCCCTTAATTTTTAAAATTGAATTCTAATATAAATAATTTTTAGATTCTATTGATAATTATTCTTTTTATAATTAAAAAAATGTTAACACTTTTTAATACAAAATATTTAACCGAAGGAGATACTTCATTAAATATGACTGAAGAAGAACGTGAACGAATGAAAATTCTTGAACATGAACGAGGTATAGCATTTGATAAATTTTTTCGATTTGGCCGAGCTGCTGAACCATCAATTGTACTTGATGATTTTCTCTTTTTGGGAAATATTCAACATGCAACTAATCGAAATTTACTTGAACGATTTAATATTAGTATGACCTTTTTTTATTTTTTTATTTTTTGTTCATGAAATTTTATTTTTTTAGAACATATTATAAATGTATGTGATTTACGATTAGGACAAATAATTCTTGATAATTTCAATGTTGTTCATATTCCAATGCCTGACGAACCTCGAACAAATATAAAACAAGTATTTATTTTTAAATGAAAAAAAAAAAAAAAATATTAATTTTTATATATTTTAGCATTTTGATCGAACAAATGAATTATTACATGGATTTTATGAAAAAAAAGAACGATGTTTGGTACATTGTGCTGCTGGTAAAGAAATCGAAAAGAAATTTATTTGTAAAATTTAAATTTAAATTTCTTTTTAGGTGTATCTCGTTCAGCAACAATTGTTCTTGCTTATTTAATGAAATATCATCATAATACATTAAAAGAAGCATTTTATTATCTTGTTGAAAAACGTCCACAAATATGGCCAAATGAAGGTTTTTTATTACAATTAATACGTTATGAAACAGAATTAATACGATCACGTGAAATAATAAATAATATTGATCAATCAATTGAAAATATTCAAATGAAAGAAAATCCAATTGAAACATTGAATGAATTTGAACATAAACATGATAAAGATGAATAAAATGATTGTTAATATGTTATTATTGATATTTTTATATAGATATAAATATAAACATTTTTATTTAAGAAATAAACGCAAACAAAAAAAAGAATTATGAAAGACTTTTAATTGTCATTTGTATCGTTGTCAGAATCAAAATCTTGTTCTAAACGTAATTCAATTGCATTATTTTCATAAAATTTTAATGAAATTTCAGATTTCATTAATTCTTCATCATCTTCTAATAATATTGTTGTTCCATTTCGAATACGTTTAATATCATCTAAATTTGAAAATGGATTCATTTGAATTGTCATATATGAATTTTTAAAATTATTTCTATCATTATTTATTGAATAACGTTTTTTTCGTTTCATATATAATTGATTTGTAAATGTACTACGTGTATGAGAAAGACTAAGAACAATAATAATTAATATAATACCAATCAAAAATATTGAATACATTGATATATTATTGAAAAACATCTTTTGAAAATTGAATTGACGCACAAATCAGTATGCATGAAAAAGAAACAAGTAAAAACAACGAAACGAAATGAATAAACGGTTGTACAAAGGGTAATGACTAACAAAAAAAAAAAAAAAAAAGACCACCTCGTCATTTCAAGTAGGTTGATAAATATTATCTTATTTTAACAACGTAATAGAACACATATATACAAAAATGACTAGTTCGTATATGTAGGATGTCAAAGTGCAAGGTAAAAATCTTGTTGAGTTAAAATTAAATATGAATATGATAGATGTATTCTATTAATAAACTGAACAATGTTAAACTATTCATTATTTAAAACTAAATTAATGCCATATATATATTTATGACAGTAATTGATTTGCATAGCGTTTTATGACGTGACGTCAATGATATACTCAATTATTTGAAAAACAACAAAAAAAATAATAAATATTGTTTCACAAATAATAATAGTCTAATGAAACAATCAAACCAAGTCAAAGATCTGATTTAATATGGCACTAGCGAATTGAAAGGCGGGAGGGCAGGGCACATGACCGATCGTCTCTCCCTTTCGAAATACTTTTCGTTTATTTTTTTTCAATAGAAAACGCACAGAAATGAGCCAGTGCAATCCCTAATGGATTTCAAAGCGCATTTTATGACCACAATTTCCCTCTTTCCGAAAAATCTTAGATTCATCACTGTAACATTTATAGTAAATTTTGTGAATGAATATTTAATAATTAAACAACAAATTGATCAATAGTTTAAATTTTATGATAAGTTTTTTTCTATTTTATTAAGTGAAGATTTATTCTATGTAATAAAACTATTTTTGTTGATTCAATTGTACGATAATGTTTAGTTCATCTTTTTCAATGATTTCTTTTTGTAAATAATAATTAATGAAAATCAAAGAACTACATTGAATAGTTAGCTAGTCGTTCAATTGGAATTTTTTTTTCAATCGATTGTGTATCAGATATATAACAATACAATGTAAAATATTATGTTTTTTTGGTATGCTGAAATTGACGAAACAAATGATGCGTATTTATGCCAATTCCTCTTTTTCTTTCTCTTGACCTAAAAAAAAAAAAGCAAAAATAATAAAAAATTTGTAACATTACCACTCTTGTAGTTTACTATGTAAATATAAGAATGAGAGGTAAAACATGTATATGTTTTAGATAGACTGTAAAATGATACATCATATTAAAAGACGAATCCATTATCTGAATCAGACAATTCGATGTTAATACGTTGCATGATTACAAGAAAATCATACAATAAATATTCATCTCTGTTAATCATTTATAAAATCTTCCCATAAGTTTTTATAAAAATCATGTGTACATAAATCTTCTTGCATATAATCGTTCGACTTTTTGGGTGAAATTTGATTTAAAATGGTCGAAATATATCATTTCTTTCTCAATAATTTCGTCTAACTCTTAAGAAGTTTTACTTAGTCATGAAGAATGATGATGTAACATTCGATCATTTGATTCTTTATTTGGAGTAACTTCTAACAACAAACCTTCTTGTCGTACGCACAATCGATTAAACAAGCAAAAAGTGAACGTAAGTATCAACTTTATATTTGCTATTCCGTTGAAATCGATACTATCCTCAGTTTGTTGAACAATTCAACGTTTTATCGGTCAAATAGATTTGGTTCTATATTTTGTGCAGGATACTAAGAGAATATAATTTTGCGTTCGTTCAAGGAGACAAAATATGACTTCACATGGTGTAGATTGACTTTGTATGAGGTGAGCGTGACAGAAGACATAAGTACAGGAGGAGGAGTTATAGGCAATCAGTTGTCACCAGAAACTCAATTGACACACTCGATTGCTTGTGCAAAGAGATTTTGTATATTCGATAAGAAAATGAGTCTTTATTTGTAAGTATGTAAGAAGTAAAAGAAAAATCCTCGGATTGGGTGCCATATACAAAATCATATTTTTGAACGACCGCTTAGTTTAAATGGTAAGGAACTAATTCGAATTGAAAGATAAACCTAAAATTAGGTACTGTCTAGTCAAATCCAATAAACACAATATGTGTCTTTGATGCATACTCAGTGTCATAGTAACTTGTCGCAATTATTTTTTTCAGATTTTCAAGTTTATGCTTAATCTCCGCCTATGCTCACACGAAATGTTTTTGGTTATCAGCCATCTTCGGATATTGCAAGTAACGAAAACATTATGTGTACGCACTGTTCTAACGTTCTATCAAATACATTGAAATCAATAAAGTCGTCATCGAAGCAATCTTACAGTATTACACCAGCGATCCGACAAGGTACATTGAACGATACATCGTGGCTATTTTGGATCTGTACAGAAAGGTTGTAATCGTCTATCATGGTCAACTCACTCAAGAAATTGACGAGCTCAGCTTATCTTTCGTGCAGTCCATGCTTCAGCAAACTAATTTGTGCGGCTTGGTCCCATTAATGTTTAAGAATGAAAAATGAATTGCCTTTTCGAACGGATACACAAGCGAGTTTTATCGTCAAGCATACGTTCTCAGCAATATCATAATGATAATGGATCCTGCTATCGTAGATCAAGGTTACAGCACTAAATTATCACGAGTCTATTTTGATGAAATTTTGAAGTTATTCCGCCATATACTTTTCATGGAAATAGTAACACATGACGCAAATATTGATGCTATGGAGCTTTACCAAAGAATAGGCTTTGTTATTCAAACCAGACTGCCTAAGAAGATTTATTATGTTGATGGTAATTTCGACGATCAAGTTGTGTTGTATCAGATGAATTCAAACTTCTACAAGCAATCTCTTCTACGATACCATGAATACTTAAAAAAGTTACTCAATGAAACACATCATCATATTTGAAAATGTTTGACTATTCGTCATCCTGCTGTTCAATAAAAATATTCATTTTCTATCAATATTATCGCGTAACGAGAGGATTAACACCTACCTAACCGTCGTCAAACAGTTCAAATCGAAAGACGAACCGTGAAATCAATTACGGCGGGAGATGGGTGAGCGCAACTTTTGAGAAATACACATTGTCTATTGAGAACAGTTTTCGATATACAATGCTGATTAGGTAAATATAGCGTCTTCACTAGTTTAAAACTAGAAAAATTGTATATTATGAATTGTATGTCAATCAACAAAGTGCGTGTTTGTCTCTCGTAGAACAAGCATCAACGTAACCTTAAGGAGAAGATCCACCGAGCGATGCCGGAGAAAAAATTTTAATTTCTGATTTTAGTATCTCAAACGATAGGTCTATTCGAACCATGCTCACATGAAGAATATGAAGTCGTTTGGTTTTGTCTATGCAAAGAACGAATCGAAGCAGTGTTTTGAAATCTATTTGTTCTCCTAAAAATGGGTTTGATCAATATTTTCACATTATCTGTGCACCATTACGATTGTTTGAGATGCAGGATGCTTTAAATATAGAGGTTCTTCAAGGATACAAAATTATCCTATTCAATCGATCCAATCATAATCTGTAGAAAGTAGAGAGATCAAGCACTGCTTGAAATGCTAAAAAAAGTTAGCATTTCCACATTTTCTCGCGTGCAGTATAAAGTCTTAACATGTTGTTTTAGTCGAACATAGATTTCGGACATGTTGAAAAATCGACCAATAATCGAGAATGAACTGTCAGAAATCAGTCTGATTGAGATCTATGCTAGATAGAGTCAGCTATGGATTGTAGATTTTAAACTAGCGTATGACGAATTGAATATGTTGATTGGTCTCTCTTTATATTTTGCAACGAGGCAATCAAATATGTTCCTCTATAAGAGATTTTACAGATCTGATATTCTTTGAAAGAAACATGAAAAATCAGTAGAAGAAAAGCACAAATATTCATTAGACAAAGCAATATTATTTTCTTTTATAATAAATTTGATGTTCTTTTCAGTTAATCTGCTATTGAATCTTGTTGATGAACTCATTGATGCGATGACTCATCATATGTTGTATGAATTCAGATGATTCCTTATTATTTTGTAAATCGGTTGATAGTGAAACTTTTAAGCCATCAAAGAAATTTTTGCAACTTTCACTTCCAGCTTTTAGTTTGTCCTTGTTTTCCTGTTTAGTAATATACGTATATGTGTTTGGAAAACGTTGCTGCATTTGTTGTTGATGTTCGTTAATTGACTTTTGAAATCGATCAATAAGATTGACAGCTGAATCCGGTTTGGTTGCGAGAGTACTGCACAATTTAGTGATTGAATCGTCCATTGATCCTACATCTGAAGAATTTAAGAATTTTGTCACGTGAAACACGAAGTACAACTATGAAAATAGCATTCAAATTATATTTTTCGTTTCTTTTTCATATAAAAATCTTACTTACTATAAGAAGAATCTTGTTCATTATTAATAGTACTATCAACGATAATATATTTGCTATTCTTAAATGAAATAGTGTCGTTTAAGTTGGTATAAATACTCAAAACCGCCTATGTATTTAGATAAATATTGATGTATACATTCATCAGTTGAGTTGTAATTATTCACCTACATTAAACCAACAGAAATATGATTATTCATGACTAATAAATTATTATTTACTTGAAAGCAAACTATTATCATACCGTATTTTTCAATTTCGAATTGGACAACAAAATCTTAAGCTAGGCTTTTTGATTAAAATAGATAATTGATTTGGCTCTTCTTCAGATTACATTATGTCGTGTAACTTTTTCTTGCAAAGTATTCGATCTAACGATTTATCAACCTTGTTGTGCTGATGTATGCTAATCATTAAGAAACTCTGCATCTGTTTTCGTTTATTTGATATTGATTATATTCCTATCTTTGAAACACTAATACAATATAGGCTGCATATCATCTAGAAAAAATTAGCAGCCGATTCGAGTTTTTGGCATGATAAGTTATTTCATGATCTATGTCAACCAATAAAAATGATACTGGCAGATGGAACTCGACGAGCTCGATTCACTCATA